TGTTCGCGGCCCTGTCGCTCCCCCGCCCGGCGCCGGGTCTGGCTGCTCGGGGACGAAAGTCCCTGTGGCCGGGCCACGGTCTCCGCGACGGGACGGGCTCGCCTTGGTCTCCGGCCCGGCCCTTCCCGGGGCTGCGCCACCCTGTGTCTCCCCGTCAGCCGCAGATCCCTCGCCCTGAGCGGGGCTGGCCCCGGCCTGCTCGTCCCCTCCGCCCCGTGGCCGCTCGGCTGCGTGGGCAAAGTAGCCGGGTCCGCGGGGTAACCCGGCTCGGCAATGGGTTTAAACAACCGGTTCGTGTCTAGTCAGGCAGCGCCCCACCTGTTGGGCTAAGTATAAAACTCCTTCTTCGGTGCTTTACCTGCCAACTCTGCCTTTTAACTTTGAGATTGTTGAGACTGTCATTGAAAATCTTTCCCTTTTATTACTAGTTCACTTACAAATAGAAACACAAAGCCTGGCTTGTGGTCCTGTGAATATGATCCATGTAAATGTCAGTCAGTGTTGTCAGATTTTCTTAAAAGGTTCATTGTTGGTTTAAAGATCACACATTTCTGATTTAGTATTTTTATGAAAACAAATAATACTGATTTGCTAGCTTACTCTTCATCCCTGTTGTATTCTCACTGAACACTACCTACTTTCTAATCAGCTTTATTTTTGTCTCTGAATTAGTATGCCCTGTGCCAAATGAATACTTAAATGCAGGTATCTTTGCTAAGCACTACAGATAAAAATATCCAGTTCATTTTTTTAGCGTTTTGTTTTGATATACTTTTTTATTCAGACAATTCATTTTAATGTGGAAGAAATATGAATCGTAGGTCAAATGACAGGATACATTCTAGCAAAAGTATATTTCTCAGATATAGCAAAATTGTCACTTTCATTTAAAAATGTTAGACTATTTCTTTCTCTTGGTGTTTCCCTGCATTTAATACTGTTGACATTTTTAACTGATCTACGTTTTTTTCTTTTTGCAAATGTAAAGTACAGAAAAAACGGCAAGAAACCACTAACTTAATGCTTTCTGTTTGTTTCTAGCTGAAACCCTCTGCGAGTTCATCATGATTCTCCAACAGCTATTCAGGTTTTCCTCCATTTTCCGCTCTGCCATCTCAATACACTTGCGTAGGAACATTGGCCTTTCTGCTATAGTGTTTAATAAGGCGAAGGAACTTGATCCAGTTCAGAAGCTCTTTATAGACAAGATCAGAGAATACAACATGAAGAGCCAGTAAGTTATTGGAATGCAATAAATGTAATTCAGTGTATTAAGTAAAAAAGATTAATATGAAACTTTTAGCAAACATTAATATGGGATTATTCCTCTTATAATTAGGTCTGTAGCTTCAGCATGGAAAGGCCCCAAGTACTAACCTAGCACAAATTCTAGTCAATGGTTCTTCCACTTCTGAAGCCCAGAGAAAGGTGGGCTAGGAAATAATTCCTTATTTTGCAACTGCAGTCCCAGGTGTTAAAAGATGTATCTGTGCTTCACGGAGGAATGTTACAAAAATAAGCTTTCATGAAAGAAATTACACAAAGAAATGCAGTCCTTGAGGACTGACACTTGATACATAATTTGCAAGAAAAAATTATCTAGAACACCTCAATAAAAAGAAAGTTCAGACTTAAGTCTTTACTAGTTATTGTGTTTGTTATTACAGTTGACTTTGTCCATATTACTACTTTTATATAGCTGCATATGAGGGTAAGGTAGTATTGAACAGTAGCCATAAAACTTTGAGTGTTGGTTTAGTTATCCAAAATGTGAACAGATAACGGATACCTTTGCAAACATTGACTGCTTTTCCTTTTTTTTTTTTACTGACCTCAAATAATTACATTTATTCTTTCCAAAAACAAAATGTAAGAATTGAATAAATTCATCTAGAAATAGTGGGCCATAAAATCATATAATATAAAAATAAAATTTTACATTTGAATATCAACATTTTGAGAGAATCTCTGATTTAAATGTCTCCAGTTACTCACCTATCAAGAAACTCTTTTATTCATTTGTTACTGTAGGAAGATTTTGCATTAACAAAAAATTATCTTTAAACAACACATTCCAATTTCATTAGAAATATTTAGCAAAATAAAAGCTGTTTAATGGTGTAGGAGAAGCTCAGTATGTTTAAAGGAGGGCTGGTTGCGGTCAAGTTAAAGAGCTAACTAACTGGTTAGAATCTCACTGGCAATAGACTTTGGATTGTTTTTAGATTTAATAACATTTTCCTAGTCTGTGACCAAACCCATTCAATTTAATAAATGCTGGAATGCTAGCATTTTGTACAAAATCTCTCAAACTTATCAGTGTACTGATTCTGCTACTTCCGTAGTACATTCTAGAGCAGTGATTCCCAAACTTTTTGCTAAGGTGACCCACCAACTACTTCCGGCTTGGCTTGCCATCCAAGCCCCCTATCCAGCTCTCACTCCTTCAGCTCTGCCCCGATCTGCAGCCCCAGCTGGCCCCTTTCTCCCTGCAACTGGGCAAGGGCTAGGATTGCTACCAGGCTGGTGTCTGGATCCTGCTCTCATTTCACCTGGATTGTAGGCAGCAGCATGTGGAGGGGGATCCAGGCAGTTGCAATCTAGAGGAAGTGGCTGCAGCCAATGAGTGGATAGACAGCAGCCTGATAGTGATTGTGGCCTGGCCATGGGGGGAGAGGGGCTGGTTGGGGGCCAGGGTTGGAAGGTTGCTAGGAAAGGTCACGGTGCCTCCCATCCATCAAGGTTTGGGACCCACCGTTTGGGAACTGGTGTTCTGAAGTTACAATTTCATTTAAAACAGACTCTTGGCTCAAATATGTCAAACTCAGCTTGAAGACCTTTTTATTGCAGAATTGCTTAGTGAAACATTAGGAGAGAAATGTGGTGCAGAGTGGAAGTAAGCATCCATTTCACAGATTAGATTTTTCAAAAGAAAGATGATCATGGAGATACAAGTGAAAGAACATTGCTGCTGCACTCCTATTGTTAGCCCCTCCCAGCCAAAATATCAGTAGAAAAAAATGTCCAAACCACCCGTGTTTTTTTTTTCCCTTGTGTCCTCTTTGGTGGTGGTGGTGAAAAGAGAGGAATAAAAAAGAGCATATCTGTACAAAACTATCAGTTGTCTTAGCTTTGAGATGGGGAAAGGAAACTATTCTTTTAAAATAGAAATGCTTCCATATGGAGGATGTGTCATGCCGTAGGGGATTCTCTAGGGGTGGACTTAGAGAAATAACTAAAATGAGAAACCTGGGGGGTGGGGGGGGCACGAATAATATGATGGAGGAAGTTGTTCTTGGAGCATTAAGAGAAATTGTCCACAACTGATTTAGCTACAGTTGCTGTAGAGCTCTTAAAGCTGCAGTTGGCACCAGATAAGTATTGCATTAGGTAAATTTGTGTTCTTTTCATGTTTGTCTACTAAAATTAAAACTTAGGTGTAGCTACTCTTACTATCCCTGGGTAGTTTTTGATTCTTACTGGATTGAAGAGTTTTTTGCATTCGTTAAATCTTTTTCTAATGATTCTATCTGGAAATACTCTTGTGGTTTTAGACTGTAAACTGATCAGTGCAGCACCATTTCCTCATTCTCTTTACCACAGTGAGGACAGCATCTGCACTAAAGCAATAATTAAGGCCAGAATAAGGTTAATGGAATTCATTGCTATGGTTTGTATTAACACTATCACTAAATTTCATAGTATTGTTCTCCTAATGGTTTTTACATATAGGTGGGAAATTATCAAGTTTTGTAACATAAGGTATCAAATCTGTATTGAAGCTGGTGGAAAAGCTTCAATATTTCCATGTTTAGATGTCTAAAACATGACTTCAGGTTTCAGAGTGGTAGCTGTGTTACGAAAGCTTATGCCCAAATAAATTTGTTAGTCTCTAAGGTGCCACAAGTACTCCTCGTTGGTTTTGCTAAAACATGAATTGTTAGCTATGAAACACAGAACTTGTGGACAGAAAGTTGTAGAAATGTAACACTCATATGTGCAAACAGGCTTGTTCAGGACTCACTTTTAAAGGATAACTGTCAGTAAATGTCAATTGCAGCTGACATAGTGAAACAGACACAAAAATATAACAGTAACAGTCTGTGTGCCTGCAGGGATCTGGTGTCACTGGCCCCACTGTCAAAGATGCCCCCTGCAGCCTTGCTGTCAGTGCTACTTTAGCCCTACCCCCTCTAGTGTCCCACAACTGTAAAAATAAAAAGTTAATCTTAATTTTTTTTTCAAAATTAGGCCTGGCAGAAGTCAATTATTTTTCTATCTACAAATAACTGTCCTTTTTTAGAAAATACAAAGGAATAAGTGAACTTGTTTCTTTAAGTAATCATTCTTTAGACTGGGATTTTCAAGGGGACTTAAGGGAGTTAGTCACCCAACTCTAGTTGAAAGTCACTGAAATTGGATTCCTAATACCTCTAAGCCCCTTTTAAAAGCTTAGAAAATAGTTCAGTTCCTTTTTAGCAGATCTTATTTTTGGTAAATATTATAAAATGATATTCTAATTGAGGGATTTTACTCCTATTTAAAATTATTATAACGTGAGTTCATGTGTAATGACTAAACTATATATCTTTAGTATGGTCACTATACATAAATCTTAAATCTGAGAGAGTTGGTATTACACTGGGGGAAAACATGGATTTTCAAATTGAGAAACTAGTTGTTGATTATAAGCATGTGTTTGTAACATAACACCTATAATTGATGCTTCACTTTGGTTATTAAACATTGTTTTCCATTAAGTCGTCTGTAGGGCTGCTCTTGTGTGCAGTTTTGTAGACTAGGGAGTACATCCCTAATTGTCGTAAGTTACCTGTATTCTAGGCTCTTCTTCACCTCGTTCTACTGGTATTAATGTTCTCACTAAACAACTTGGTTTGAAGTTGATCTTCCCTTTCAGCAGATTAGCCTCAAAAATAACAGTAGCATGTTTCAAGGGAGTTTTGTCTAGGTACTTTAAAGGCTTAAGAACAGAATTATGCCTTGTTGCCAAGTCTCCATTCACAGCCATTTAGAAAAATGCAACTTGATAATTGGATTTTAGAATTTACACTGTTAAAGAAACACTGGTTAATATTTGTAGAAATATGCTTCTCATTTTTCCATTTTAAACACTCCTTTAGCTTTAGTTAAGCTAAAATGTCTGATTTCAAATGCCGGAAGGGAAAAATGTACCCCTGGTATGCTCTCTACCTCTGTTTTTTCAAAATATTTAAATTGCTTTACTTATTTGGGGAGTGTAGAGCCATTTATCTTACTCTTTGATTAGGCCCTTAAATGATAAAATTGCTGTATAAAATGTTTAGAATCAAAATTTTCATTGGACATTTTCTGCCTTTAGGAAAGCTGGTGGTCCAGCTGATGTAGGCCCTGAATACCAGAAAAACATGGCTGAAGAAATTGCCAAAATTCAGCGGTTATATGGTGGGGGAGACCTGACCAAATTTCCAGACTTCAAATTTGAGGGTGAGTCTCCAGCCTTTATGTTAATTTATTCTTGCATCATAAGTGTGAAAGTGAAAGGATGAATAGTGGAATATAGAGCCTTTGTGACCAGTGACCTGGAGGTAAATCAGCCATGTGGTCCTGGGAGAGAGCAGGACTCGGTTGCTCTTGGGGATGGTACATGTGCAGTCTGGTTGGCAAATAGGAACTTTGTGGCAGCAGCGTATGCTTAGTGTCACGTAAGGCTCCTGCAGCAATTGTTCCTGCTGTTGAGGACGTATTTGGCCACTCTGTCCATTCCTGAGACCTGAAATGAGCCTTGGTCAAGTGTACAGACAGTGTGTGCCTGCTGCCAGGTGCCATGTGACACAACATTGCTGTTTGTTAAGAGCTGTCATTTGATAATGTTGAGACTTGGGTGGTTTGGCACAGACATCTGCACGTTAATTAACTTCAGGGGATCATGGCTGTGAGGGTTCAGTCAGAAAATTCCACCAGAGAGGCGTTGTTAACTAGTGTCACACAACAGCTATTTTAAAGGATAAAAGTGAGTAGTGAAGTCACTGCCAAATCCACCAGAAGTCTTCTCTGTCATCTGCCATTAGTTGATCATCCCCATCCTCCATGGACTCTACAGTGATCTAAGGGAACAGGAAGATCAGAAATTCCTACATGAGGACTAGGTCCCTGTGCCTGGAATTTCATTCTGCCACTTACTGCATGGGGTGGACCCAGACTATTAATTATTTCAGGAGTTCCCCCTTAGCTACATGAGATACTGCTGTGAGTTGCTATTTTCTGAACTATCCCTTCCTCATACAGTCAAGTGAGTAACTTTCTTACCTGCTGACTAATTTTCTTAGTACAGACAAAGCAATCTAAATGTCTTTAGCATAAGGCAGTCTCTTCCAGTTTTGAGTAATTTAGGATTAATCTTCCCTTGTGGCTTAAATTATACTATATCGTAATGTGGAGTCTTTTCTCCAGGAAAGAACTAATTTTTCTCATTCACCTAGTCTGTGTACTACTTTAAAGTCTCATATCTTAACTTTACTGCTCATTATGTTTTTTACGAGAGTCAGTGGTAGGTAGCAAGATTTTTCTCTTGTTGCTGGTAAAACTGGTAGGACCCAATTAATGAACTAGTTGCAAGCTAGTTAACAGGTAAGTTACCTTGGTTGTAGGTAAACATCCTATGCATATAGGAGATATTGCATATTCATGAAGAAACTCTTTTAAAAAACTTGTGCTAAATGTCCCTTTGCTTTCCCCACCTCTTTATGGCATGTTTGCAAAATTAGCTGCAGATCACTAAAAGTAGTAAATGGGTCCATGGTTTATATTCTGCTAGAGCCTGAAGTTGATCTATGAGCAGTATTGACATGAGCATCTTAACATGAAACTAATACGATATTTTTTCCTTCTAGAGCCCAACTTCGAAGAGTCTCAAAAATGATGTGGTTGGCGTCTGCATTCCAAGCACTAGTGTCATCTTTCTCATGAAGTTGTTAAATAGGCCAGCAGTTGTAATTTAATGTGGGGTTTCACTTTCAAATACTTGTTTGACTTCTGAACTCAATACAGTACAAGTACAACATGATTCTTGTGAACTGCCCTATTCATAAAATTCACTTTTGGAAATCAAATATAAAGTGCTCACTCAGTCTTTTACCCAGTGTTTAAACACTATTTACTGAGATGACATTTCAGTATCCAGATAAAACCAAATGACCACTTAGGTGCAAAATACAGTTAAAGTTAATGTTGTTAGCTTTCCTGTCAAAAAGAACTGTGCTTCCCTAAATTTTAATCATGTCACTGAAATCTTATAATAATACAATAAAGCCTGCAAGTATGGCATTATTGTATGCAGGTGATCATTCTATGCTACATTATTGCAATAGTAACATTTTATTTAGACATATCCAGGAACTCAAACATTGCAGCTCATGCCACATATCCTCCAATTGTGCAAGGCCCATGAGCTGAAGTGGACTGACTTATATAATCTTGATGCACCGGTACATTCTTGCAGAGGCTATCTTGTTCTTCTAAATAAAAAAACTTGAGGTTTTTGGGGAGAGTTAAGTACTAAAGTTTCTAGTCTGTTCCTGAAGACCCCATCAAAATATGAAAAAACGTATTCAAGTTCAGTCCTACCTACCAGAAACTCTAGCAGAGGTTTGAACTACCTATCAATATTGCTCATTTTACTGCTGCTTATAGTACAGGGAGAAAAATGATCACATTGAGCTGACTTATCTGAATGGCATTTAATCCCAAGGAAACAAGACAAACTTTGAGCATTTTGCAATCTTGGTAACATCTCATTTTGGTATCGGGTGCAGATCCAATTCAACCCTTGGTAGGAACACAGGCCTTACACTACGATATATCAAAGGCAGTCAGTAAGGTCAGTGTAGAGTTTCATCTTTACCTGCTATTACTCCAAAATGCAGAGTACTATACCTACCCTTTGCCCTCCTCTGTCACAGTAGTTTAATGATAGTTTTCCTATTGCTTTTTTATTTTGCTTATGTCAGCCCTGAAAAGTTTTCCTAAGATTAAGACTTTCTATAAAGTTTCACTCACATGCCCATAAAACTGCAATATTCTCCTTTATAGTACTGTTAGATGTATGCACTCTAAGCTAAGACTAAAAAGTAGGATTGCTCCTTTAAGTGAATTTCTCAGTATTTGGTGTGAATTCTTTTAAGAAATCTTAGCTTACGCCTGCCCCTGTAGCCCACTGTTTTTAGCAGCTACATTTGTATAGGGAAAGTTCACAATATTCTGCTCTTCAATCAATCCCTCTTGAGAATTATTGTATAATCTAAGCATTCATTTAAAATTTGTAGCTTGTTTTGTTAGACATGAGCTAATCAAACAAATATACAGACAGCCTGAATGATAGTTCACTAAATGAACTATTAATCCCCATGGGATGAGAAACAGGGCATCTTAAATGTCAACGTCACTGCTCACTTTGAGCAGCAACATCCAGTTTCTGCTCCTCCTAGAATCCCAGACTGCCTATTTTGGTGCCAAAGAATCTAGCTCCTAAAGTTCTCACAGCTTCTCTGAAAAAAATTTGCATGTTGATCCAGATATCTGTAGTATATAAGAAGTGGGGACAGTGAAATAAATTGGCTGTAATATTAAAGCAGTTCAGGGCTACAGGTAGCACTTGTATTCATTTTCATCTTACTATCTCAAAGCTCCTGTGGCATTTTTGCACTGCCAAACCAGCATTTGAAAGAACATACAGCACAGAGCATAAGTAACAAAACTAGATGCTGATTTATGACCAATTGAAGTCCGTGATAATGCAGCAAATGCTTATGGGCCATCCAAAATACAGATGCTTTCCTGCATTGAAACTGACTGTCAAAGTTTAACTAAGCAGACAAAGTGCATATTCCAGCTAAAGCATACTTGCTAAAACAAAAACATTTCCCCTTCTAATTACTATGGCTGTCATTTTAGTTGAAATATGAGTAAAATTTTTGGAGCTAAAGGAACATGTAATTGAAGACAATATCAGGCAGAATGTTTCTTGCAAAGCAGACTGTTCAACACCACGAGTACCATATTTCAGCAACACATTAATCTAATGTTGACCACTAGACCATTAATCTAGTTACAGACCTCCAAAAGTAAGTTCACAGTAAACAGCCATCAGACACTAGGCATCATTTATTTGTAAAACTGAACTTTTAACAGAAAAATCAAGGCACTAATACTGCATCAGTTTTGCTGCACTGTTTTCCTTCACACATACAATCTTTAGCAAAGAAACTTTCATGGATCTTAAATATACTTCCTAGAAGGGAAAAAGCTACACACTTTAGCATTGGGATTTGAACATTTGATCTACAGTGGTGGTTTTCAACCTGAGGTCTGCAAACTATGTCTGAGATTTCTAAAGGAGGCCGGACTGCCATTTGAAATTTTGTAAAGATTGGCAAATGAAAAAAGATTGAAAAGCACTCCTCCACAGCAGAACACTGTTTGGAGGTTCTCTATTATAGAGAGGGTGAACCACAGTTACTGTACAAGTATAAACTTGAGTTGTTATCAGAATTGTTCACTTGACTGCATGGTCTGACAGATTATTAGAAAAGTCATGGCACTAATAAAACTGAAAAATGGCAAAAGTTAGAGCCCTTCACATTGTCTTTTAGATGTAGACACTACAAAGCACTAGGTTTGAGTGGTCAAAAAACTTCTAACGCTAATCTGTAAAGATCATGAGCATGAATTTGCTTAGTAATGAGTCCCCTTGCTGTGTAGATACATAACCAGGATGAGAAGAAATCTACATACTACTATCCTTAAATTAGAGAAATAATGGTATTTTAACAATATGAACAGTTGTACAGTCCACGATTAGGTTTGTAACATCGGCTCCTAGACATTTCAATAAACTTTCTGCTTTCAGTGTATGCCATCTCAAAACAAATCCAAATATTTGCAGAAGAGTTAAAAAAAAATCCCTTTAATATTTTGTATAACAAGTAGTCACTGTGTGTCTCTCAGAGAGGCTGAAATCTTCTAAATAACAAAGGACTTGGTGTGCTTGAAATCCTAAATGGAAAAAAAGAAAAGGGTAAGGTGACAAGTTATAGTTCAAATGCTTTCAGTATTCATTACACTTAAACATCTGTAGAACTTAACTTGTGTCTCCAGGTTGGCAAAAGAAGCAAACACCAAGCATACAGCAACAAAAAATGCTATGAAGTCTTAGTAATGAGACCAAACCCCTTCCCAGAGCAACAGAATAGTAGGCAGATAAACCTCTGGCTCATCAGCGAGCATACCATTTCAATTCCCTTTGAGGAGTGAAACCCACAAAACACATTTGTAAATGATATACCTACTACAGTTCAAAAAGTGTCCCAGTGGGACGAATTTAAGATCAAGGGGAAAAAGGTAAAACTGCTGTGTTTCTTTCCTTTTGAATACTCCAATTATAGCTGCTGATGATGTGCAATTATACTGCAGTTGATGAATGCACCCCACAACTAGAGTTTACCAATATTTCAGTGAAGAGAGAGACAAAGCAAGAAATTTTCACCACCAAAAGAGGAAATCAAAAAACCACTGCTTAAGTTCCGTGGTGTTCAGATTTAAGGACAGAGGGTAGCTTTAATAGAGCACTTATGGTGGCCAGCTATAACCAATACTGACTGCCATCTGGTAGGTCCTGAGAGCAGCTGTTGCTATTTCATAGCTAGACCTATAGGTGGAGCATCACTCCCTGTATCAGTTTAACAGCAGAAGCTGCACTGGATCAATGAAATTTTTGGGGACCCCCCCATCATGAGTTGTGAGAATTAAAATTAGCTGGTGTTTTGGAGTTACCGCTATTCTGGTCAGGCTTGTTGCATACTGATCCTAATCCTCCCCTATAGGAAGCTAGGGCCAGGCCCAAAGCCAGTCCTACTCTGCCACCTTGCAGCCTCCTCCCATTGCCCAGCTTCTTTGGTCCCCTCCTCAGGCCTAGGGAAGCAAACGGGAGGTACATAGCTCCATGCGTTGCCTCCAGCCAGAGATCCCAGCAGCTCAGGGAAGGGGCCACTGGAGCAAGGTTAAAGCAGAATATCCAGCCCCTCAGTGGGGTCAACTAATGCTGCAGTGTCTGAGACATCTGCTCTAGTTTTGGCACTACTGTTGAGGTACACTGAAGGGAACATAGTAATTGTGGGTTGGGTTTGAGTGAGGAAGGGAAGTAAATGGATGAAGTTGACAGAACAGGAAAGAGCTGAGACTGGGTGAATAGAAGGATGACGGGTGGGTGAGATGAGATGGGTAAATCAGGTGTGTGACTGAGTTTGTTGGGAGGATTTGAATAATGTAGGTGGTGGGGTGCTGTGGTTGCCCGATGTGTGAGAAACAGTTGTGAAATGAAAGAGGTAGAGCAGAGCAGTGTAAAATGTAGGTTTGAGGAGACAGGGACTGCTTCTGGGTGCATCTGTGTGGGGAAGGAAGTTGCATATGCTGGTGTTTGTAGTGAAGGTGGACTAGGAAGTGTTTGCAGGTGCTGTTGAGTTTTCTTGACATATGTTGCAAAGCTGAGCTAATATTACAGATCCAATGTTTCTCTAAGCAAACCTAGCCATTGGATCATCTCTAGTGCATAGTATCTTCTCACTCTTTCATAGTGTGCACCATCTTGATTGTCTTGTGTACACTACTCTCTCTCTCTCTCTCTCTCTCTCTCTCACACACACTTACTTATGTAACATTGTGTGCCTAACTGCAGCAATTGCTTTACATGGAAAGTGATTTTAACTTTTTTTTTTTAATAAATTTTGATTTAGCAGGTAGATATAAGGAGGAGATAGAGCTGCCAGCACCCTGTGACTAGCCAGCTCTCAATAGACCAGCAGCAAGTGCTCTGTGGACCAGAGTTTGAGAACCTTTGCTCTAGTGTTCATTCCACTTGATGGCTAATGCCAGTAGCTTTATACAGTAAGGAGCTTGCTGCCTTACCCTCCAGTGCTGCCAGACAGGGTGTAGAGGAGAAGAGAGGCAATGCTTTAGGTTCCACCTTTCTGATCTGCTCTCTCTGCTTAAGGGGATGTGGGGGAGAGGGGATGGAAAAGGCTCCAAGGGGTCCCTTTCCCTTCCATACCACCCTGTAGCAAGAGGGAGAGAGTGGTAGAAACTGTGCTCATAGATCTCAAGGTTGAGCTTTGGAAGTCGATTGTTCCACACACAGGAAAAAAAAATTGGATCATTGGTCAAATGATGATTTTGTAATTTCTGGGATTATTATACCATGGTACACATGTAAAATATTTCAGCATGATATGGTAAGATAAGGCAAGGCAAAGATGGTTCCAATTCACTTTATCTGTAGAGCATTAGACTTGATGCCATGTGTTTAATTAAAGCTGTAATTTTCCCTCATTTAATCCAAGTGTTTTCTTAGAAGCAAAACCATGAACTGTTCTTCAGCCAAAAAGTACTGAGACTAACCTCTGTTCTTTCAAAATATAGAAAATGTATAATCTTTATTCATTTCAGGGCCAATGAACTGGGCAGTCACAGGAAATGGAAGCTTAATTGGTTCATGGTGAGCAGCTCCCACAAATGCCCTAGCTGATTGATGAATACACTCACCTTTTCACTTGGGGTATATTTATAGTCAGAACTCTTCTTCCTGTTAGTGTGATAGACAAAGAAGGCAGATTAACTGTTTCATTTTTATCTGCTTGTACTTTAGTTCTTGGAGAAGCATACACAAATTTGCCCACTTTAGACACCATCCTGGTTTCATCTTCGCTCTTATCTTGTAAAAGACCAGAAACAATATCGTGCAAGCATCGGCACAGTAAATGGCTTTGCAAGGTATGCCAAAAAAGCATCTATACATAAAGGGAAGATTGAGTCTGTGGGGCTCACTGATTTTCAGGAGGTAAAGCAATGTTTTGCATGTGCTATTTGAAAGGCATTCCTATCTGACTAAAGCCAGATTACTTTATGAGAATATCTTGACCAAGTAAAGAAAGTTATCACCATTTCACAGCTCGCAATTAACAAGATCTGTACCAGATGTGTGAAAATACTATGTAATAGAAATAGCTCTTTCATAAAATTTCCTCCTCTCCAAAGGCACAGACAGCAACATTTCACATTAGGGGCATGTCCATTGTCTTCTGTCCATTACAATACCTGTGACGATTCCTTGGGGAGCTTTTAGACAACGAAATCCTTGCATCATGAACCACTGCCAAACTAGCTTCCCTGGCTTGTTGCCTTAAGGCTCCAAGATGTGATGCATATCTGGTTATGGCTCATATAGTGATGTATATTATATTCATGACCATCATAAAACAAGTATCAGAAAGTATTTTTAAGAAGTACTTGGCGATATCTTCTTTTAATAAGTTACTTGCTTTTTCCTGCCATTGTCCTCACTTGAGAATGTGAGTTATTAATGTTGAGCTTAGCTAGACAGAAGAAATGCCAGCCTCCACTTTAAGGACTCAATATTAGTCTCATATGTGAGCATGTATCTCAGCCTATCTTGTAAAATCAGCTTGCATGTACTGTACGTACAGTTGCTGATTTCACAGAACTAGCACACTTCCATCTTTTAATGCAAGACTGAGGTGTATACTTTCATCCTGGCTGATGACCAGTTTCCAAAATGATCTGCAGACACAGATTTGGGTAAAATCTTCTACCTAGCTATTTTGCATTCACAACCAGGGAGTTGGCCAAGCAAGATTTATGTCTGCAGCTGAATTAGGAGTTTGAATGATAACCAAAAGGGGGAGGGGACACAGCCATCTGAAAATTTACCTCTGTTTATTTAACAAAAGTATTGGTTGGTTCATTTATTACTAGTGGCTTGGTGTTAGTATGCAGCTTAGTAAGCATAGTGAGAAAACCCAGCCACCAAAGTAGCAGCCTAAAGAATATTTCAGAACAGGTTATCAAAAATAAGGTTAAGGACACAAAACACCCCCCATGTATAATAATGATGTGGAAAGCCCTACACAAGAATCACCTTTCTTACATCATCAGAAGCACAAATGAAATTAACTACCCAAAAGTGATATACTTACTGAGAAGAGCTTTCTTCTGGAAAAGTAAAAGAAAAAACATATTTAGCACACAGTGATTTCCCTGGCTAATAAACATCCTTTGAAATATCTCCTGTGAATAACATTTAACTCTTGTCCTTCCTCATCCCTTTAATTTCTGACAGTAGCATCTGAACTATGTTTCTCACTGGAGGATGAACAAGTGATTCCCCTGACAGCAGTCTGTCTGGATAAGCCAGCAGGAAAGCTGCCCAAGCCCCCTCTCCTCTGGAGTTAATAGTCTACTTCTGAAAGCGTTCAGCTACCTGCTCTCGTGAAACTGCTCTCACATCAATCTTCCGCCCCTGCTCCCCCCTACACCCCAAAAAGCTGTGTGTCCTCTTTCAGACACATCCTGAAACATTCTTCTGCATCACTGCCTGTTCACTGTATTAGATTCTATGGCCCCTATTGTAAATACCCTGGGGAAGTTGCCCAGCTCTTATGAAATTTAATGAAAGCATCAGTTTTCCTGACATGTACTTTCATTATGGTCCAGCAGATGGAGCCAGCAAGTCCATTTCCACTAGGATGCAAGTTTCAGTACCGCTTACATCTTAGATTAAAAATGACTGTTTACATTGTTTCTTTTTACTGGAACAGATTTTAGAAACCAATAATGTCACTTTAATGTACATATGCACACACACATATTTGATATGTGTGCGTGAGTATTCTATCATATAACACATCGGTGTAATTTTGTTGCTCTTCTTTTATGTCATTTGGTACCCTGCTAAATAAATGGGAACACTTGTGTAGCAAGGTACTAAACAAGAGTAAACATGTTAGAATTCTGGCCAGAAATAAATTTATACCTAATGTCTTTCAGGTAGTTTTTGGTTTTTCTCATATCCACAATGTTCGTCACTAGCCCTGTTATGACACACTTTGGGGAAGAAATTTGTAACTTCTTTCATCAGCTAGACTTTGTACCCAAGCAGTTACTTATCCCGGGCTCTGCCTCCCCTGAGCTTAGAGTTCATTTTCTTCAAGGTACCTGTCAGTGACTGGGTGAGCTAGCAATTCTCAGACTCAGTTCATGAACATTTGTGGAAAATAGAACTGTGGGCAAGAGAAAATATTTAACCTTTTTTCTAATATTTTCAAAATTATCTTAACTTTGCATAAAAAAGAAGTCTGTGGAGCTTACTTAGGATTTGCCTAAATTCCCTTTCAGCAGTAATTTGTGACTAGCCTGCCATTTCTATCTCATTTTCTATTGCAAAAAGTAAACTGGGTATGAATAAAAGGAGCAGGCAGAACAAATAACTATGGGTCAGATCCTACATTTATTGAAGACAGATGCAATACTTCCATTGGCTTCAATAGTGCAGAATCAGACCTTACATGAAAAAGGAGTATACTCTACACCAGTGTTTCCCAAACTTGGGACGCCACTTGTGTAGGGAAAGCCCCTGGCGGGCCAGGCCGGTTTGTTTACCTGCCGCGTCCGCAGGTCCGGCCGATCGTGGCTCCCACTGGCCACGGTTCGCTGCTCCAGGGCAATGGGAGCTGCAGGAAGTGGTGGCCAGTACGTCCCTCGGCCCGTGCCGCTTCCAGCAGCTCCCATTGGCCTGGAGCAGCGATCCACGGCCAATGGGAGCTGCGATCGGCCAGACCTGTGGATGTGGCAGATAAACAAACCGGCCCGGCCCGCCAGGGGCTTTCCCTACACAAGCGGCGACCCCAGTTTGGGAAACACTGCTCTACATAGTAGAAATATTTAGTCATAGCAAGTTTCCTGATGTCTATGAGGAAGGCAAGATTTAAGTTGACTTACTTGAAAAGTAACCTTTTTTTTGTGCATAAAATACCCCAAGGCCACATAATGCCATTACCAGAGCCACAACTACTACAGCAGCTATGATTCCGCTTATATTAAGGTCATCTATAAATGAAAACAAAATAAATCCAGTGTTAAAAAACCCCAAAAACAAAAACTTGCCATTGTAACAGTTTTCCACTTTAAAAATTCCAGAGAGCAGTGGCAATGATAACTATAGAATGCAATATGTAAATGACTCTGACATGTAAGTTGCTAGCAACCAGAAAGAAGTGAATGGAATAAACATTTTGAGAACCTACTACCCACCAAATAATACCCTTGTTAGCACAAGGCTTTTTAACACACCTCAAATTCTTAATATGATCCAAAAAGTCAAAAACTGGATAGAGACAAGGGGGTATTTTCTCATCTAGATGAGTGCCTAACCCCTGGCATCATTCAAGTTACACATGTCAAAGGGAGAATATATCCTGAAGCCTGTAAATGGAAACAGCTGTTAGAGAAGATTTGTTTTAAGTTAGTTTGATTAAAATAGTAGTAATGTAACAGCTGATGAAATTGTTGACACAGAATTATATTTGTGGCACCAAGAATTTTCATGCTGTTGAATCATATGTATAACTTAATGGCTTCTGACGTGAATGGAAGTGAGGGTTTTTAAAAACTAAACCACCAAGGCCAAAGTATTCAAACCTGGGTGCCTAAAATTAGACTTCTTAATCCAGATTTGGGCACCTAAATTAGAAGTGGCCTGATTTTTCTGTGGTGATGAGCAATCCCCATTCCCATTATAATCAACGAGAGCTGTAAGTGTGCACCTCGTGGGGGGAGAGATTAGGCCACTTCTATTTAGATGTCCAAATACATATTTGGTTGCCTAACTACAGGCACACAGATTTGAAAACATTGGTCCAAAAAACTTCTTATGTGTGTCGATAAGTACCAATTTATGACTTGGATTAATGTTTCCCAAGTAGAGGAATTCTGCCTTGATAGCATGTAGTTACTCAAATACAACATGAATGCATTAAAAGGCCTGATCCAAAGTCTTTCTATGGACTTCAGCAGGCTTTGAACCAGGTCCTGAGAGAGTAAGAAATATTAGAGCACTGTTTAAAAGGTCACTGCCAAGGTATTTTGTAGAATCCATCCATTAGAAGCATTTTCCCCTTCACTCTTGATTAAAACCTTTTAGAAGCTTGAAATATTTCCTTACCAACTTCTCTCCATCACTTGTGCATGCACTGCTGTGGGATTTTGCAGAGCTACTCAAGAGTGCTGGACTGCTGGAATATATTTTTTTTCTTTAGGGAAAAAAATTACGGATGGACTTGTTCACAAAACAAATTCTATATCTAACAAGTTACACGAATGTTGCAAACAGATAAGGAGCAGAAAGCAAAACAAACATTAGGCCTATCAAACTGGACAGTGTCCCTCTAACCAGATATAAATGTCACATTTATTACTGTTTTTCCAGATAAGAAAATGAAGATCAGAAATAGTTTTCTGAGTTGCTGCATTAAAGTCCCACATGAAATTGACTCAAGGAAAATATCTGTGAAACAAGACTTGCAGATCATACTTTACAGCCTCCACAAAAAGTTCTGAAATATTAATATCTTATGTGTATATCAGGGGTAGGCAGCCTATGGCACACGTGCCGAAGGTGGCACACGAGCTGGCTTTCAGTGGCACTCACACTGCCCGGTCCTGGCCACCGGGCCGAGAGGCTCTGCATTTTAATTTAATTTTAAATGAAGCTTCTTAAACATTTTAAAAACCTTATTTACTTTACATACAATAGTTTAGTTATATATTATAGACTTATAGAAAGAGACCTTCTAAAAATGTTAAAATGTATGACTGGCACGTGAAACCTTAAATTAAAGTGAATAAATGAAGACTCGGCACAGCACTTCCGAAAGGTTGCCAACCCCTGGTGTATACTATTGTTCAGTGGAGTTTAATGCATAGTAATCTTCTGAAAGCTGGACATTTGATCATTCTAAAGCACTCCGAGCTAAGCAACCTTATGTAAGATACAGTAATCTCTACTGCTTCTTTTTAGAAGAGGAGTGACTTAAGCAACCAAAATGTCTACATAAATAGCATTCATAACAAACATGTAATTGCATTTGATTCCAGCACACTGGGGGAGGAATAAGATAGTATAATTTTAACCTAGTCTTAGTTTCTTACATGTGCTGTGCAATAAAGTCATTTTCATCTACAGATTTTTTTGCCTTATTTGCTTTTGACACTTACCAACTTGCATTCGCTTCACAGAGCATTTTTGAGGAAGTCCAATTCCATTAGAGGCTTCACAGTAATACTCTCCAGTGTCCTTCTTTGAAACTGTGTTAAATAGCTGTTAAATTTTAAAAAGAGTCACCAATTAAGCTGAGTGAAATTTACAATTTCCATCACATGGAAATTCTGACATTTTTGTTTTTGTCCCAAATTTGGATGAAAAGATGAAATTTAACAAAAGAGAAATTCCAAAAAATTTTGATTCAGAAACATTGTTTCAACATTTTTTTTAATCAAAACAAAACATTTCAACATTTCTGAAACTGAAATGTTTCATTTTGTTTCATTGAATTTGACCCCAAATTAAATATTTTATTTTGATTTTCGTGGTGGAAAACTTAATTTGAAAAAATTTGAAAAGCAAACTCAAAATTTCCCTGTGGAAAATTTCAATTTTGTGGAAACTGCATTTCTGTTAGAAAATCATTCAGATAAAAAATTCCCAACCAGCTCTAGTTATCAAATACTATCACCATGTGATTTAAAGTTAGGAGGTTGGTGGATGAGGGACACTGCACTGATACCATTTAGACAATTAGTTCTTTGAACTATGGGTTATTTTTTCTTTTTTTACAAAATGAAGTATGATGAAACAAATGACTATTTCACATAAACAACAAGAAAGGGAGAGGTGGGGACTTTCCCAAACTCATCAAACTCAGTGGGTGTCTTTCCATTGACTTCAGTGGGCTTTGAAATTAGGCTCGCTCTCAGAACCACAACTATGCATCAAGGCCAAGATTTTCAGAGGTGACTAGTGATTTTGGGTGCTCAGTTTGACACACCTTAAAGGGGTGGGATTTTAAGAGTGCACTGATCATTCACCTTCTGAAAATCAGACTCCTCTAAGGTATCTGACTTTGATCGTTCATAAAAGTGAGGTGCCCAAAATTACTATTCACTTTGGAAAGTCTTGGACTAAAATTTATCATTAATAATAATTGAAAAGCATCCATGGAAGTCTCTTCAAAAGAGGTGTATAGTTCTGGAAAAGATGCCTATGCTGATTTGGGACCTGGTTCCTGCTCCCAGTTTTTACTGGTGCAGGAATGGGACTTCTAAGTATATCTGGAAAGTTACTTTTACATTTCCTAAACATCTGTTTCTCTGATGTTGCCCTCTATGCTTGGTAATAACTCCCCATGGAAGTTTGTAAAGATGCTCACTTTATCCTCTTTTAAATCCCTCCTTAAAATACTCAGTACTGTGATGCCTGATCTGGCACTGGTTACACACGTGGCAAGCTGTAACATCTGTTTATTTTGCAAAAATCTGCTAAATTATTTTACCTCCTCCTTTCACTCCACTCCCACCCAGTTTGTGTATTTCATCCACTTGTTGTATCCTGTCTGACATGTAGGTTGTGAGCTCTCTGGGGCATGGACTTTCTTTTGTTTGTTTCTCATCTGCACAATGCCTAGCACAATGGGGCCCTGATCCTTGGTCATAGTGTAACATGAATAATACATTTAGTTTTCTTTCAGACTCAAAAGTCAAAAGAAAGAGTTGGATAAGATGATCTTACCAATGTTCCAGTCTTTTTATTCATGGTGTAAGAAATGTTTCCTATTTTAGCACTGCCTGTTCCTGTATTTTCCAGTAAAGCAACACCATTCCTATACCACTTGTACTCAGAAGCAGGAGACCCTTCATTTTCTTTACAACTCAGTTGTACTACTGTTCCACTCATCGCTGAGCTGGGCACTTCACACGATGGAGCTGCCGAGGCCACTGAACAATGAAAAAAGACGGTTACTCACCGTTGTAACTGTTGTTCTTCGAGATGTGTTGCTCATATCCATTCCATTAGGTGTGTGCGCGCCGCGTGCACGATCGTCGGAAGATTTTTACCCTAGCAACACCGGCGGGTCGGCTGTGGAGCCCCCTAGAGTGGCGCCTTCATGGCGCTGAATATATACCCCAGCCGACCCGGCGCCCCCTCAGTTCCTTCTTGCCGGCTACTCCGACAGTGGGGACGGAGGGCGGGTTTGGAATGGA